GGGTAGGCATGGGGGCATGTTTGCCCCACAGATTTATGCACGGGGAAGAGGTGGACTGCCCGCTACAGGCTGGGGCTCTGCACCCTGCTGCCTTAGCCCAGGGAGCTGCTCAACGCCATATTGTGCCTTCCACTGCCAGCCCATGGCACCCAGGGCAAAGGCAGCAAGGCGCAGAGCCCCAGCCCGCAGACCACCTCTGCCCCATGCACACATCTGGGGGGACATATGCCCCCCATGCCCCACCTTGGGATGTGCACAGCAACAGGGAGCCACACCTCCCCAGTGCCCCTGGAAAAGCGTCCTGTGGCTCCATCCCCAACCCAGCCCAGGAACCCCATTCACCCCAGTCCCTGCCTTACTCCCTCCCTCCACCCCATGCCCCTTCCTCTAAACAGACTCACCTACTGGGTGCTGCTCTAGATGCCACTGGGTTGCATTCCTGTAGGGTTACCATATTTCCAGTTTCAAAAAGGAAGACGCATGTGTGTGTGTGTGTTGGAGGGTTATATCATTGCGGGGGGCAGGGCGGTGATAGGCCCACGTCCTGCCCCTCACTCCCAAGCCACAGCCCCTCCCCGCACCTAACTCCTGACCCACAGTACCCCACATCCTGCCAGGGCATGCAGGGACCCCCCTCCCTGGGCTCCAAACCCCACATACAGCCCCACAGCCCCCATACCTTCACAAGTTTGTATGACAAGTTTTTTTCTATATCTATATAGATTTTTGCGTTTCTATACAACTTCCTCATAAAAAAGCATCTTAATCTTCCAGTGCAACTCAGATTTAACCAACCTAAACACTATTTTATATGTAAATATAAATAAATATAAACATACTATCATTTCTAGCCATCTGACTCCCACCGCCCTAAGTGAACACAGTGCTATTTACAGCTTGGAACAGCCTTCCACATAAGTCCAGAGTGAATTTCAAACCTTTGGATCTGTAGAACAAGACACTTTATCCACTCTGCCACTGTGCTTTAGGGCTGAATAAGTGATAAATATATTGGGGAAGGAGGAGGAGAGGAGGCAGAGGGATACATGGAATTGTAGAATCCCATTTTAGCCCTGCTGATGCATCACTTCATTTTAGTCCAACCCACCACTCAAGTCCAAAACAAAAGTAGTGATGCTGGCTTTACGGTGGGCAAAGGGACTGAAGGATATGCTATGTCACGGGGGTGCAAACTTTCCAGTAGGCACACCACAATGTATAGCCCACACTCTCTCCAAAGCCACTTGGATCCCCTTCCTCTGCCTAACCTGTTGCTCTGCTTTCTGTTCCTTGCCCTGTGCTCCCTCCCTTATTTGCTGCTTTGTTCCTTGTCCTATCTATTGCTATGTTACCTGGTCCCTCTCCAATCTGCTGCATGCCATACACTGAAACTGCCTGTGCCATGTGTGGCTGCATACTGTGGGTTGGTCTCTTCTGGGCTATGTGATGGGTAGAGGTAGCAGTAGCAGTAGGGATGGGTAGGGGTAGCAGGAGCAGTAGTCCCTCTTTCCTTTTCCTTTCCCAGGATTCCATTGGACGCAAGCATGAAGCATGGCATTACTCAGATGATAGCCAAATACCCATTCTTGGATCTCATCCCAACTGGCTGAATATTGTTGTCTACTACATCTCTGGAGTAGCCAAAGCTACTCTAATCAGAGAAACTATAATAAAAATGCTTAGCTCTCAGTACAATTTCAACTGAATGAGGACATGGTGGGAAAAAAGCACTGTCTTATTTCATTCAGAAATAATTCTTTGTTTTGGGTGCTGCAATATTAATTCAGTAGCTGAAATAATTTATACAGAACTTATTTCCCGATATGAGGTTCTGGTGCTCATGGGGGACTTCGATCACCGTGACATCTGCTGGGAGAGCAATACAGCAGTGTACAGGCAATTTGGGAACTTTTTGGAGAATGCTGGGGACAACTACCTGGTGTAAGTGTTCGAGAGACCAACTAGGGGCCACTTTCTTCTTAATCTGCTCACAAACAAGTTAAGAATTGGTGGGGAATGTAGTAGTGGATGGCAACTTGAGCAGCAACGACCACAAAATGATTGAGTTCAAGATCCCAAGGAAAGGAAGGAAGAACAGCAGCAGAGTACAGACCCTGGACATCAGAAAAGCAGACTTCAACTCACTCAGGAAACTAATGGGCAGGATCCCCTGGGAAGCCAGTCTGATGGGGAGAGTTCAGGAGAGCTGACTGTACTTTAAAGAAATTTTACTGACGGTGCAGGAACAAACCATCCCAATGCACAGGAAGACTAGCAAGTATGGCAGAAGATCAGCTTGGCTTAGCAAGAACTCTTTAGTATGTTAAATTACAAAAAGGAAGCATTAAGAAGTAGAAACTTGGACAAACAACTAGGGAGGAGTATAAGAGTATTCCTGGGGCAGGCAGGGATGAAATCAGGAAGGCCAAAGCCCAACCAGAGTTGCTGCTAGCAAGGGGCGTGAACAGTAACAAGAAGGGTGTCTACAAGTATGTCATCTACAACAGGAGGATCAGAGAAAGTGTGGGTCTCTTACTGAATGGGGGAGGCAACCTATTGACAGGATGCAGAAAAAGAGCTGAAATACTCAATGCCTTTTTCACCTCAGTCTCCACAGACAAGGTCAGCTCCCAGACTACTGCGCCTTCAGCAAAGTTTAGTGAGGAGCTAAGCAACCAGTAATGGCAAAAGAACAGGCTAGGGCCTATTTAGAGCTGGATGTGTACAAGTTCATGGGGCTGGACAGGATGCACCCGAGGGTGCTGAGGGAGTTGGCCAATGTGATTGCAGAGCCATTTGCCATCACCTTTAAAACTCGTGGTAATTGGGAGGGGTACTGGACGATTGGAAAAGGGCAAATATACTGCCCATACTAAGAAAAGGAAGGAGGTGAATCCAGGGAACTACTGACTGGCTAACCAGCAGATCTGCAGAAAAGGACCTGGGGGTTACAGTGGACAGTAAGCTGAATATAAGGCAACAGTGTTTCCCTGTTGCAAAGAAAGCTAACAGCATACTGGGCTGCATTAGTAGAAGGGTTGTCAGCAGATTGAGGAAAGTGATTATTCCCCTCTATTCAACACTGATGAGGCCACATCTGGAGTACTTTGTTCAGTTTTGCGTGCCCCACTATAGAAAGGATGTGGACAAACTGGAGAGAGATCAGCAGAGGGCAATGAAAATGGTTACGGGGCTGAGGCACATGACTTCTCAGGAGAGGCTGAGGGAACTGGGCTTATTTAGTTTGGAAAAGATAAGACTAAGGGAGTGGAAGGGGGATTTAATAGCAGCCTTCAACTACCTGAAGGGTAGTTTCAAAGCAGATGGAGCTCAGCTGTTCTCACTGGTGGCAGATAACAGAACAAGCAGCAATGGTCTCAAGTTGCAGTAAGGGAAATTTAGGTTAGATATTAGGAAAATAACCCTCTCATTAGGAGGGTAGTAAAACACTGGAACAGGTTACCCCAAGAGGCTGTAGAGTCCCCATCCTTGGAGGTTTTTAAGACCTGGTTAGACAAAGACTTGGCTGGGATGATCTAGTTGGGGATGGTCCTGCTTTGAGCAGGGGATTGGAATAGATGACCTCCCCTAAGGTCCCTTCCAACCCTAATTTTCTATGATTCTATTTGTAACTGGCAAGCAAGAGAAAGTTTTTAAACCTTTACAAAACAATTCTTTCAGAAAGCTTCTTTAAAAAAACCCCAACAATTGTTCCAGAGGACTTTTCCATACAAATACTAATAAACATTAACCTTGACTTTGGTTACCTCATTTTGTTCAAATTCAAGAACTAACCACAAAATAAAAAAAATCTTATTTGATCCCAATGTAAGCCTGAGAAGATTTTTTTCCTCCACTGAAAGCATTATTTTTCCATACAATAGACACTGAGAAACCTTTTCTTCTCCAAAAAGAAGTCATTATACTCCTGGCTGTTTAAAGCAATTTTGTTATTAACAATCAACAACTTCTCCTTTTGACTAACTTTAGAGAAGCACTATAGAATTCCTGTATGTAACTTAAAGTTTCCTTGAAAATGATTTGTTTTCTTCCAAAATAAGGCATTCCTATTACTAATGAAGAAAGGTTCCTTTTTGTATTCTGCAGCATTTATTGCTCCATTTTTAATATATTTTCCCTTCACTTGTACAGAACCTATGCATATTTTGTAATTTTTTTCTTTAATGTTTACACAATAATCAATTAAATTTTGATATTTCTTTAGGCTGATTTCCATTTTTCCAGAATAGTGTCAGTTTTCATTCTGTTCCTATTTTCTCCTTAAAAATTAGTATTTTCTTCTAGATGCTTTAGCAAGTACTTTGGTATTATGTGGAGACCAGGGCTTTCTGGGTGTTTTTTTCCTGCAATTAGTGTCTCTATCCTTGTTGATATATCCTATAGCTTCTTACACTTGATTTGATATAATGATTTAGTCACAAATAAGCCGAAATTGGAATACCATATCTGCCAGTTATTAGAATCTCACTTAATAGAATTAACCATATATTAGAATCAAATTCTAAAACCAAATGCCAAAAGCACTGTACTACTTGCTTTTTCTACAACTTGCAAGCATGTTTTTATAGACTCAAAATCTTAAACCATGATCTATGCATGTAAGATGTAAGCATAACCGCAAGCAGAGAAAAGGTGCTGCCTGCTGCCCAAATCAGATTCCATATAAAATGAATCATCACAATGCATTAATTTTTTTTTGTTTCATTTCTTGGCTGGTCTAAGTATATTAATTAGACTACAAATATCAGTGTATTAAGTTCTACATTTAAAGGTTTTGCCGCCTTTGCCATATATTACTTTTTGGGGTAAGCTTGAAAACATAACTGAGCCACCCAAATAACATTTTCATAAATTTGTAACATCAGAGTTGCTCCACAGAAGATTTTTCTTTATTTGCGCTCTGGCACTCACTGTCCTAGATAGATTTAGTAATTTTTGTTTAAAATTACATTTTTCTTTTCTTTTTTTTTCCGTTTGTTTACCATTGCTCATATGGTCATAGACAGATTGCTTTTCCAGTCCAAAGTCATTTTTCAGTTTTGAGAGAAGAGGAAAAATTGTGTTCATATTACAAATCATTTTAGATTAGGAAAAGAACTGTACTTTTTTGTCCTCGCAATCTTAAATGCACCTTGAAAATGTTTCATCAAACATTTGTCCAGCCTTACAATTACTTTAAATCTAGGAAGATTAGTTTTAGATAGGAAAAAATGAAGAATTACCCTTTGAACACAAACACTGAATACAAATACGGATTTACCTGTGGCCTGTTGGATGGCTTCCATTACAATTCTTAGTGGTATCCCAGGTAGTTTTATATCAGCCTAACATGAAAAAAGTTAAAAGTGAGAACAATGTAACAGGCAAGTGATGTTTTGTACATTTTAAGAGGATTTAATAAATTACGATACCTGCAGAGCAGTTATTCCTTTATTAGTACCAGCCATTTTGAAATCCATATCGCCATAGTAATCTTCAATTCCCTATAAAAGTATACGGAAACAAATGGTTCAAAAAAAACCCCACCAAATCAAAGCCACCTTTAATATTCCAGTAAAAGGCATCATTCTAATATAATAAAGGGCTAAGTCTGTCTATTTGTGTGTCTGTCCATAACGCTTTTGTTCAACTGTGCACGTGTTGCCAAAAAGGTGGGCAGCAATAGGCTATGTGGGCCCGGGTGGAGAGGAGGCAGAAGTGGGTGTACATGCACCCAACAGTTGGCAGGGAGGGGGAGGCGGCAGGGACGAAGGGGGGTGGAGAGGGAGGTGGGGAAGCAGGGGGAAGCCCTGCTGCTCAGGGGAGGAGGCTGAGGCGGGTGTGGGGAAGGAGCCCCCACACCGGTGGCTGGAGGAGGCAGCAGCACAGGGAGTGTTTACATGGCTGGCCCTGAAGGGTGAGTTGGGAGGCAGCACGCGTGTGCAGCGGCAACAGCCATGTAAACACCCCTTCGTTATTTTAAATCTGTCATTCATGACGAGCAATTAAACATAAGACACCAATATGCCATGCAGCTTTGTTTCCCAATATCAAAGTTACTTCTCAGGGCACCACTTGCTTTCTTCAGCACAGTTTAACCACACTATGGGGTATTACGATCCCAGCACTCGTTCCTGCCCAGGGCAGGGGGTCGGACTTGATGATCTGTTCAGGTCCCTTCCGACCCTAGAAACTATGAAGTCAAGGTCCTTCCACCTTACATTCTAAATCCTTTTCTATAGTATAGTTTTCAAACAGCCATGGTTGAATTTTATACCACTTCAGCAACAAGTAGCACTCCCATACAAAACTGATCCTGAATATTTAACTATCTAGGAAGAAGAAAAAGCAAGCAAGTCATTTTAAGATCATTACTCATCAGTCACATGATGGCAAAGACAAGAAGTTCAAGTTGTACATAAAGGTTAGAACAAATGAGAAATGGAGAAATTAACTGATCTTAAAGGAAAGGAGAGACATAACTGAAAGCTGAGTCATTAGATGTGGATGAGATCAAAAAAGAACAAAAAGGTGGCATGCACTGTTGCGGCATGCAAGTATTTCATGTTGTCAAAATTATTCTGGATAAAACAACACAGTCAAAGCTTTTAGAAACTTTATCTGACACAAAGTAAATCTGCTACAAGCACTCACCAGGATGTCTGTCAGCAAACGATAATCCTCAATTTCTTTATTATTCATAGGATTAGTTTTGGTAATGAGACCTATTGCAACACCTGCCACAGCACTGGATACTGGAACTCCTAACAGTGGTAAATGAAAACATGTAAACAATCTTGTCACCTTCACATCTAACAGCTCTTTAATGTACAACCACATTTGCCCTCTCCATGAATGTAATATGTTATACCTGCATCCATTAAGGCCAAACTTCCACCACATACAGAAGCCATTGAAGAGGATCCTACAGTCAGAGAAGAGATTATAAAATAGTCATTGAATATAAGTAAAGCAAAACTACCCTATTGAAATTCTTCAGTAACAGTTCTAGAATTAGCACCCTCTGGGCAGCTAGGAGATGGGGTTTCCCAGTTATGCAAGAGTTTACATTTACCAACCCATAGGCCATGTCCAGATGAGCAGGGTTGTATGCTTAGAGCGGCACAAATAGCAGTGGCACAAATCTGTGCTGCTATGTGCTGCAGCTCATGCCCCTATACATGTGCTTTGTTGTGGGACACATTGTCCGGCTGTGGACAAACTTCCCATGCCCAGCTTCTCCCAGCTCCCACTGTTCTATTCCAACCGTAGCAATTTTGCATCCACACTGCAAATAAACCATGCACGACTGCTAAATGTGAAACACAAGGTTTGTGGTACCATAAACCACATGTGCCTGCATAGACGTGGCCATAGGGTTTAAAATGATACATTTTGACAAAAAACACCTGCAGGCAAGTCTGCTTATGCTGCAAACTGCAGAATGTCAATTGCAGCAATAACCTAGCCACAGTGAGCACAGACCTCAGCACAGACTAATTCACCTTGTTTCTCAACAGTACAAAATATCATATGCAGTAAAAGCTCTGTTATCTGGCATCCCCTGGGAATGGGGGATGCCGGTTAATCAAGTATTCCAGTTAATCAAATGTGCACTGTCTGGTACACTCCCTGGTATCAGTGTGCTGGGGGACAGGGAGGAGGGCCCCGTCCAGGCTGCTTTTTCCCTGTGCAGGTTGCTTTGCCCTGGGCGGAGGGCTGAAAAAGTGGCAAAGAAAAACTCAGCTTGCGGCAGTGAAACAGGAAGTCCCCCCCGAAGTGGTACTTCCGGGTTCGCTTTTGCCACGTTGTTCAGATGTAGGTTAATAGAGTTTTCTGGCTAATAAAGTGCCGGTTAATACAGCTTTTACTGTAATACCATTTTATTACCCATACATATACCCATGTACATGATGGGTACCCATGATATGTACATCCAATAGCATACTATTATCAATTAAAGCAGTGCTTTAGGAGCCAGGACTGAGGTTCAAAAACATCCAAGTGTTCCTAATTTTCAGAACTTAATTTAAGACCTAGATAGGATAAGCAAGCCATTTAGCTAAAATGCAAAGCAGTTTCTCAAACTCAACATAGTTCAGGAAAGATACCAATCTTTGCCGTTAAGTTAAAAAGTGAAATATTAATACCATTTGATTCCAAGACTTCTGAAGTAACTCTTATTGTGAATGGGAAATCTTGGGGAACAACCGGCTTCAAAGCTTTCTCTGCAAGAGCACCTGTATACACAAAAGTTACAAAATACTTCATTAAAAAAAAACAGAAAAAAAATGAAGTCTTTTGTTTTTTTTATGTCAGACTTCTCTAAGTTTTACTCACCGTGTCCAAGTTCTCTTCTGTTCATACCAGTAACTCTGCCAATTTCATTAGTTGCATAAGGAGGGAACTAGAAAGTGAAATTTTCATAAAGAAAGTTAGGAAACATGTGGTGCCCCCCTCACCTTTGACTGCTTGTTGGCCCCAAAACAAGCACCAAAAGTCTCTAAGAACATTCACAACTGTACCTCAAGAAAAAAAAAAAACTTTGAATTGGTTATTTAATAAAAATTTTTTCCTAAATCATCAACAAATCCTGGATCCACCTAAAGAAATTTCATTTTATAATTTGTCATTCTTGGGGAGACAGTACTGGATGGATGGACAGACCACCCATCTAATGTATGCTCCGTGATTTCAGTGAACAGTGGCGATGGATTTACTTCACTAGTGCAACCACTAGTAGGCAATTATTTTGACTGGAGGGCTACTTAACAAGTTTTGGTGAGGTGTTGAGGGCCGCAAGGGTAGCCCTGCTCCTTGACAAGTGCCCCTCCCCATGGTCGCTACCTTGGGACCAGAAGTCCCATCCCCTTAACCTCTTACCTTTGCCATCGGAAGTCTCTCCACTTGCCCAGGAAGTACTCCTTTTCAGAGGGGAAGGGTTTGCTTGTAAATTGTGGGGGTGTATGGGGGAGTATGTGGTTGGGTGGTTGGGTGGGGCGCGCACGTGTGTGTAGGGTAGGGTGTTCATGTCAGGGGGCTTCCCCCGCACCTGCTCTTTGCGATGTGGTTGACCCAGCCCCTCTGTATGCGGGGGTGGAAGGGAAGGGGAAAGAGCACTGTCTGCCTGGCTCACAGCATGCTTCAAAGGGGTGGGAAAACAGCTGATGCTGGCACCCAGCAAGTGAAGCCCCTAGGAGATTTGGAGGGGAAGGGGTTGAGCATGGCATCACTGGCTCTTTCGGTCTCTGTCCTATGCCTGCCTGGTGGGGCTGCAGCTAAGCTCACGCTGTCTCCTGCTGCTGCTCCTACCCAACCTGCCTGTCCTGTGCCTGCCTAGTGGGGCTTTGTGAGCAGCCAAGCTCCTTCACATCCCCACCCCCATTCATGTGCTCCCCTGCCAAGCCATGCACAAGCAAGACCAAAGTGAGCTACCTACAGGCAGAGCCTGCTCTCCTCAATGCTGCAGCTTCCCCTCCCTACCTGCTGCCTGGAGCACTGCAGCAGGAACAGGAGGAGTCACTGGAGGCCAGGGAGTCCAGGAGTTCCCTGGGTGGCTGCAGCAGCAGCCTTGCCCAGAAGCTGCGCCTGCTGGCTGGGGGAGGTGGGGAGTGCAACATAGGCCCCATGCCAAGAGCAGCAGGGGCAGCTGCGTGCCATGTCTAATCAGCTAGCGGGCCATATTTTGCCCACCCTTGCACTAGTGCCAAAGATTTTCTGACGCAACTCTGTTGTTGTTGTTGTTACGCAGGAGTTGCTAATGAGGCACATTAAACAACTGTGTATTACAAATTGCAGTAACCAAAATCACCATACAAAATTCAGCAGACAATCTTTGTTTTTTTGTGAATCAGTAACAACCCTTCCCATCTCTGGCATGGAAGTAACCTTGGTGACACAAAATTCTCACAGCAGAAAATTAGGACAATCAGTGGTGCCTTTAGTTATCCCTCTTTCCAGTTTGCTTTTGCTTAACATGAACTGCCACTTCTCTTCCTTTTCTGCATGGTCCCTTTCTTTCGGTTTTAATATCAGATGTTTATGTCATACAGTGCTTACTCCAATTAAATCTGTAAAATATTGTACAAGGCCTCTTTCCTTCTCAGGGCATGGACAAACGTACATTTGGAGTGGCTCCAGAAGGGAAAGGAAGCTGCTATTCTATAGCATAGCAACTGTGATGCTTTGTTAGTTGTACACAAGCCTGTATGCAATCCAGCTAAATGGTCATGGTTCAGTCTGGTTGAAACAGTTCAATTTGGAGCATCTTACCCGCACCTATCACAATGTAACAGCTGCTGCAGGATCTCCCCAGCTGCACTTCCCCTTTTGAGACTGCTCCCAGCATATATTTTTCCATGCCCATAATCATACTCATATTGCTACAGATTTAGAAAATATATTGGCTTTGTGACACATTTTGACCATGGCCCAAAGAATGAGAAGTGTTTACAGGAGCAATTCTTATTTACTATTTGGTTAGTAAATTAGTTGAACATATTCATGAAGTTAATTAAAAATAATTATGATTAGCACACTGTCTAATTTGCTTACCTAGAGAAGGTTTCTCAAGTAATCTTGTAATGCATATAAAGCACTTTACTGGGTACAGTTTATTTAAAAAAAAAAGTATTATTATTTTTTTAGAATAAAATTAATTTTTAAAAGAAAGACCTAGGTTTTACCACAGGGTGGAATTCATATTCACGTATTAAAATTTATTCACTGAAAAATTTTAAGTCTTCAAACAAAACAGTGCATCATTTGAGAGCAATCAATTTCAGTATTTAAAGCAAAACTGCAGAACATGCAACAAAGTGTGAAACAAAATAAAACTCTTACCTCATAATGCAGCATAAAGTTTTTATCTTTTATTCCACTAGAAATAAAAAAAAAAAGTGTCAAACAAGAGCAACTGAATACCTTCCACTTACAGTGTATGGTAAAGGAGCAGCCTAACTTTTATATTACTTCCTATCAATGTTTACAAATGTGAAAGTGAAGCAAAGTAGCATGTCAAGCAAATCAGCTAAAATACATATTAATTTTCTTTAATGCTTTCTACATATTATTTCCCTGTACTACTTGAATTTAAGGTGTCTGGACTCCCCTCCCCCATGCCCTTTCAACTACAGGTAAAGCAGTACAACCTACCTAGTAAAAACATATTTTTATCAAAGGTGTCTCATACTGGCTTTACTGTACCATAGAAAAAGCTGTACCATGTATAAAGCATCCTTATGCAGCTAAACCTGCATGCACATGAAGGGACATACTGATTTAATTGCACTGATATTTCTTCTATCATATCTGAACTGAAATACAGTATTTAAACTGAAACAGTATTGCTATTTAGAAGCTTGGATTTAGCTTCTGTGTTATATTTGAGGCTAGTAGGAAAACTAATCCATAACTGAATTACCTTCAAATCAAAGTTAAGAACATACGGAGTGCCACACTGGGTCAGACCAATGGTCCATTTAGCTGAGCATCCTGCCTTTGACAGCAGCAGGAGTGGATGCTTTAAAGAAGTGGATGCTCAGCCCCAGGGCCAGGGAGCCAGGCCACCATACCCATAAGGCTCCCCACAGGTATAGAAATTTGGTAGTGGGTGAGCTATGACAATTAACTTTGGCACTACACCCCTGCTGCCAAAATTCCAGGCCCTGTGTGCCAAGAATGGGCCAGCCCCATGCATGGGGATCTGGCCCACAGACTGACCTGGCACTCCTCATGTAGCCCACAGGGCCACAGGGGTTGGCCACAATTGCTTTAGAAAAAGAGCACTACAGTAATCTATCCTATCATAGGTGTTTCTACACTCAAGTTCTTGCTACTGCCTAGTACTGTGAAAATTGTGAGCTGATAAATTAATTTATAAGGTGAGCAAAATGAGGTAAAGCATCCAGGAAACACGGTCAGCTGTTGAATGGCTGCAAGGACAAAACACAGGTGGTGCTAGATAGCGCAGGATCAGATGACTGCACCAAAGCTTAAATTTAAGATTTTTCCTTTAATACACTGGTTGTCACCAGTATAGATTAGTGGCATCATCAACAAGATGCGTCTTGCTAGGCCATGTACTGGTTCCAGAAAAATTCAGTTAATCTCTGAAGTAATGAGGAGCTTTTTCATTCATTGAAGATTTTTCTTCCAACAAATTAGTATATTTGGAAAGACTGCTTCAACTAAGGAATAATCAGTCATCCGACAATTTTATAAGTTTCTGAATGAGTCAAACCAGCATTATGCTTGGTTAGTGCCAGGTAAGGTCTTGGAAAGGTAGCTGCTAACATGAGACAAAAAGTTGCTCCATGTGTTGCATTTTACTGAATCTAAAGAATAGCACCTTACTGTACAGACTTACAGTTAACACACATCCCATGAGAAAATTGTGCAGCACTATCATTGTCTCATTAAAAACAATGAAGATATGTCATTATTTTATCAATAAATATTTGGAAAAAATGAAAACTTTTGCCCTAGATTTTAAAAGATGCAGGAGTCTGGCATATTATGTCTTACTCAATTAGGAGTCTTCTGCTTATAGCAGGTGGTCTCTTTAAAAAAAAAAAAAAAAGAGTAGGTAGTTACTTATAATATTCTTCATTTTATTGTTTGTAACCTATGAGCCAATATAACCAAAACCAGTAAAGAAAAAGTGACTGTACAGACTTCTGGAAGTGGGCCATTTATTTAGGAGCCCACTGTTAGACTTCTCTTTTAAAAATAGTGATCACCATAGAATCAAAGGTTTCAAAAGAGACATCAGTAGCTATCCAATTCAACTCTACTGCACACATGCAAGCTTTGCTGTCCCTGTAACCTCCCAGACAGATGTCTATCTAGTGGTCATTGAAAATCTCCAATGAAGAATATTCCACAACTCACATAAAGCAGCTTGTTCCATTACTCAATCTATATTCATCCAGGTTCAAGGAACTTTTATCAAACGTGTTTAAACACCCAGGTTCTTTAATTACAAATGCTACACAACAACAGAAGCAAGATGACTTACCTCACAGCTGTTGTGATAAGATCGGATTTCACACTAGATTCTAATGAATCAAATGTAACTGTACAGAGAACCTAGAATAAAAAGCATAATAAAAATATAGAATACAAAAATGTTTACCAGCATTTTAAGCAATTTATACTGGGTACAAATTATTTTTGAGTCATTTCAGAAACAGACATATGCTGCTCACGAATTCTCATGTCTCCAAATCAGTTTTTTTTTTTTAATGAAAAAAAAAAAAAGTTTTTTTTTTTTTTTACAGTAACTATGTTGATAAAAAAAATCATAGTCCGGTAAATGTTAGCTTCCTGGTTCTGGCTCCCTTGTCTGGCAGCAGCATTGTACAAGCAGTCCTCCACTTACAATGTTTCGAGTTACAACGTTTCGCACTTGTAACATTTATAAATTGACACCCTGTTTCAACTTTATGACATCAGTTTTGACTTTACAACACTTGATCTAATGCAACGCCATGCCAGCAAACAAGTTCACTGCGCTGCTCATCTCCCTGGAGAACGGACACTTTTTTTAAGAAAGCAGACAAGACTCCGGAAAAACCTGCATTCAACACTCCTGAGAAGACTCTAGCCAAGAACCCTTCAAAAAACCCAACCAAGAGCCTTTCAAAAAGTCCAGCAAAGTAATCTCAAATAAGTCCTTCCAAATCATTATGATTGCTATTTACAATATAAATACATTAATGTAGCTATATTAATCATCTATAATTGATTGAGTACAAAAACCTGGGGATTTTTAGTGAAAATAGGGTATCGGGCCTTGGTTCAGGAACCAAACCCCCATTTATAACATTGTCCCTCATGAGAAAATTGGTTCCGAGTTGCAATGTTTCGACTTAAGATGCTGTTTTTAGGAAGCAATTGTGTCGTAAATCCAAGGACTGCCTGTACTGCAGAGACAAAATGTTCATATCCAAAAGACAGGAATCTCTTTCACTGTCCCCTGTTGACCAGCTAAAAAAATTAACTAATGGGAAGTAATAATTCTCAAAGAGAAAGGTGGGATGTGAAACAGGGAGTATCGTGGTAAATCTTTGAGCAGAAAATTAACAAGCAACATCTCCAAGCTGCTTTAGAAAGGAATCTCAACATCTCCCACAACCCTGGGAATCAAAGTCACTGATATAATTTTAAATCTATTGTCACCTCAATTCTAAAATAAAATGTATACGTTCAGATAAATTTTAAAGATTTACTGTTAACTCAATTTGGCAATCTCCTACATAGATAGCAACAACTGATTTACTGATGCTGCTATTTTAAGTGTGTCACCTAATCAAAAATCATTCACTGAACTGCATATTCCACGTAGGCAGCAATTTCTCAGCAAAAAAATCATTTTAATGAAAAAAATCTATATAGTTCTATTTTATAAAAGATACATAAGTGAGATTATTTATTATTATACAAGTTACAAGCAACTTGACAACTTGATTACAAATCGTTCAATTGTACAATGTAACGTACTTCCTAAAGTTATTTCTTAAAAAAAAGAACTACTAAAACCCCTTTTTGCAACCATGGGGCCCGCATGTGCCTCTTGCAGTAGCTCAAAACCCTTTGAGATGCTGCAAGAGGCACGTGCAGGAATGGGAAAAGGTTCCCACCACTGCAAGTTTGCAGCACAAGGGCAAAATTAGACCCCTATATCCTGGGGTCAAAAAAAAAACAAAAAACAAAAAAAAAAACCGAGCTAAAAAAAAAAGTGAGGAAACCCGAGGCTGGGTCCTCCACAGAGGTGCTGTGGCTGCCAGAGTGTCTTTATAGTTGGCAAGAGGCACGTGCAGGAATGGGAAAAGGTTCCCACCACTGCAAGTTTGCAGCACAAGGGCAAAATTAGACCCCTATATCCTGGGGTCAAAAAAAAAACAAAAAACAAAAAAAAAAACCGAGCTAAAAAAAAAAGTGAGGAAACCCGAGGCTGGGTCCTCCACAGAGGTGCTGTGGCTGCCAGAGTGTCTTTATAGTTGGCCCTTCGCCCTGGTGCTGAAGCATGCTGCCTGCCCATGCAGGGCAGGCAGCGGTGCAAGCTGCAGGGACCTGGACTGGCTTAGTGCCAGGTAAGTAGGTGGCTGGGGGCCTGGAGGAGGGGGAAGGGGACCTTGGGAGAGGCCCCACCTGGCCCCAGCCCCCATTCCTTTCCCCAACTCCGTTCATTTCCCCTGCCCCCCGTTCATTCCCGCAACTCCCCAATCCCTATCCCAACCCCCCTCCCTCCCACACACACACACTCACTGGCAGTAGCAGAGAATGAGCAGGAGGCTGGAGACAGCTGGAGAAGTCTCCAGCTCATTTCCAGGTGCTTGTCTCCAGCCTCCTAATCATCTCTATCCCCCTGCTCATTCTTCTGCTTGTCTTCAGCCTCAGGAGGCTGTAGATGAGCAGGAGAATGAGCAGGAGGCTGGGGACGAGAAGGGAAATGAGCAGGAGGCTGGAGACAGCAGGGGAGTGTCTCCAGGGGCTGTCTCCTACCTTCTGCGCCCTCTCGGCAGGGGAGGGGGCCAAGCAGAGCAGCAATTGGGGGGATGGGGTGGGGCATGTGGGCCCTGCAGGGGGGGCTGTTATCCCTGGCAGGGGGGCAGCAAAACATATAGGTATTTAGAATTCATTTTATTATGATGACAGAGACACTGCTAGGCATTCAAATTGCTTTAACATTGTAGATATATCAATAAAACATGTCCAACTGATCACTGTCTCTGTCTCTCTCTAGTGGTCTTTTGTTTTCATCTTGGAAGAACATGGATTTTGGGGTATTTTACAGTGACTTTGGGAATTTTTTATCAGGGATTTTTCAGTTTTCCAATATGGAATACCAGAATTCCTGCTAGGGAGGCCAGTGGCAGG